AGCGTCCAGACTAGCGCGCTGAGCGGACAAACAGCTGATCAGCTGTTTGTCAGCTCAGCGCGGCAGCAATGTAAATTTAAATGAAGCCACGATCATTTAAATCGCGGCTTCATTTGACTTTGCCTATGTGTCTAATCTACATGCCTCTGCCGACAGCCTTAACTTCGGTTCCGGCCAGCCTTAACTTCAGTTCTTCAAAGGCCATGTCTACACTACAGATAAGATCAAAGCTGATGCAGTCGATTTTCCAGGGTTTGAATTAGCTGATCTAATGAAGACATGCTAATTCAAACAGAGAGGGCGCTCCTGTTGATGCCGGTAGTCCTGCTTCTATGAGGAGTAAAGGAAGTGGAAGGGAGAGTGTGCTCTTCCCACAGTGTGGACAGCACCAAAATTTGAGTTAAGATACTTTGACTTAAGGTACACACATAAGGGTATGTCTACACTACCACCCTAGTTCGAACTAGGGTGGTAATGTAGGCAACTGGAGTTGTAAATGAAGCCCGGGATTTGAATTTCCCGGGCTTCATTTGCATCTTGCCGGGCGCCGCCATTTTTAAATGTCCGCTAGTGAATTCCCCCTCACTCTTCTATAAACTAAATAAGCCCAAATCCCTCAGCTTCTCCTCATGAGTCATGTGCTCCAGGCCCCAATCATCTTTGTTGCCCAAACAAGTCTGGAAAGGCAAGAACATAACAATAAAAGCCTAGTTCTTGTATTTGCTAAAACAAAAATTTAAATATTCAGACACAAAGATATTGCTATACACACTGAGATGAATTATTATGGATACTCAAGTTACTGTTCCCTCATATTTTTTGCTTTCTTGATTGTCAATAATGTAGATCTGGTCGGTACCTACTAGAGCAAACTATTCACAATGTGGGTCCGCCTTTAAGAACAATTAATTACTTAATAAATTCAACATATATCTAGAGATATCTGCTTCTAGAAAGCATCTCACTAACTGCTCACAGGAAACTCTCTACAGCTAATTCATTAAGATACCAGGAGCCCCTTAGCATGACTGCTGTTCAAGTCAGAGGTTGGAAATGTTTAGTGGTACTTCACCTTCCCACTTCCTAAGGAAATTTCTGGATGTATCTTTCCACTGCAGTCCTGCCACAAATGGCATGCGGTCATTATACTGCACCTTAAAGTTGGTGCTACTCTCCGATCGGCCCTGAGAGATATGAGAGTGCTGCAGCTGGGTTCTGTAATTCACCTGCTTTTCAGGGACTTGCATGGTAAACTGGAAAATAACAATGAATTCTGATTACAATTGGAAGCATTTCTCATCATCTAAACTGTCAAGACCAAGAGAACATTTACAATCTGATTCAAAGCCCACTAAATTTGATGGAAAAATTCACATTGAATTTAGCTGTCTTTGGATCAGCCACTCTGTGATTTTTAAAAAATCATTATAATTCCATGGCATTTGGTACTATAATGGTCAGGTAAAATCTGTGTAATGTACAGTACTGGAAGATTTTAAATATACAGAACTGGAAGATTTACCCAGCATTGCTCAGGTCCTTTTTGTTTTTCTTCATTGAAATCACTGTTCTAGGGTGGGTCTGGAGATGAGGGGTTCAGTATTCAGGCTGGCCCACAGAGAGAAGACTACCCCAGCTCTCTCTCTCCATAGCAGCTTGGGGCCAGGTGAGAAGCGTCTCTCCATGGCTGCTGCAGGCCCCGCAGTCATAGCCAGAGGAGCAATGCATCTCCCCCTGATTGGGCAGGTTCAGGTTTGTCTGCCCCTTGCGTTACCCAGGCAGAGTGAGGAATGCAGCAAACTGTGCACTTTCCCCTTGTTCCCTGATAAAGGGGACCAGCCAGCAATCTTCCTGTACAAATAAAATGGGTCATTTCAGCTCCCCCGGCCCTCCCTAAATGATGCCTGGGGAGAGAGAGGGCTGGAGCTATCACGGACAGATCCCCTTTTCACCTGCCTGGTGAGTCTGTCTCTTCTGTATAGTTTTATATGACACAATCCTATTGCAGATACATTCCATTTTCCTGGCACAACCAAGCCCTTACCTTGCTTTAACTTAAAATAAGAGAAAGCAGCATACCAAATTTGGTAATCCTAGCTCTTACCATGCAGGAGGAGTTCTTGAACAGACAGATAGACAGACTCCTTCAAATATATAGTAGATGATTTATGATACTTCAACTACAGGCCATATGAAAAGGTCACCATCTATTCTAAAAAACAGTGTATGTTTTCATGTGCAGCTATTGTCTGAGATTTGTAGCAGCTATAAAATCTGTGCCCCTGTGATGGGGGAATACCTTGCCTTTGTGGTCCACTCAGGCCTACTGACAGACGAGGGGGAGGGGAGGGAGGCAAAAGGGATAGCTGCCCTGGGAACTGGCAATTCAGAATGGCCTGGGGCTCCTGGCTGCTGCTACTGCAGCAGCAGTAGTGGCCGGAGCTGTGGACGCTTTTGATAACCAGTGAAGTGCCTCACGATTCTGAGGGATTACTTGTGGCAGGGTGGGAGGGCGAGGGCAAGACACAGCATTCTCTGGGAGACATTGAGGACTAGCTGCCTCCAGCCCCACCCCTTCTCTCTCAGGCCATGCCCCTTCTGGGAGCAACAAGCCAGCCCCTCTGCCCAAGGCCTGGCAATTCTGTCTGTCCCTTTGGATCCACTGCCAGAAGCTTTGCAGCCCCAGGAGTAGATGGCAAAGGCCTACCTAGAAGGACAGCATCGAATCACTGAATTAGAGCCCAGGATGTTCAGATAAAAGGAGCTGCAATGCCTTACCAGGTAATTCCTGTCTGGGAACAGAGGAGCAAGGCAGAGTGCTCCTCTCTGGCCAAAGATACTTGGAGGATAACCAAATATTGGTTCTGGCTGAATTTGCTTCAGTTGGGTGGGAGAGGACCTAAGAAGTGTAATCTTGAGATATGGCATGAAAATAAAAGGCTAACAGGAAAGAGGCCCAGGGAAATAGCAGCAATGAATTGAAGCGAGTGGTATGAAGCTCCTGTTTATAATGTCCCTGGGCAGGCCGGCATTCCCCTTTGGCAAAGTGGTATAAATTCCAAAAAGGAGACAAGGAAGCTTAAGTGAAGGGCTAAATTTAAAGGCCCCAGAGCTGTCTGAAGAGCCCAGGTGAAGGCGGATAGCAAACATCCAATAAAAACATCGACCACAGAAGGGGGTTCATTTTCAACATTCTGACTTGGTTGGAGGGTTGAGACACAGAAGGTCTCAAGCCTCTGAAGATCTGCCAAGTGACACTGACAATTTATAGAGGGCACCAAGAGCAGGAAAAGGACTACAGTACTGCATGCAGCATCAGGATGCACTTAAGAGGTGACTGTTTCTTGTCACCGTTTCCCTAAGAACTAATTTAGAAGTTTATATGCATAGTTTCTGTAAAGATCCTGTATGGATTTGTAACAGAACATGGGTTACACAGGAATTACCATATGATCTATTAATCTGTATCTTGCAGCATTTAATAATATGCTTCAAAGGAAAGCACAAATTCACCATAATGCATCTAATTATTCTCTGCTACATTATTCGAGAAACATTTTTCTGATCCTACAGTTTATGTCTGGAGAAATTTGAAAGATGGTTTTGTACAGCAATGGAAATTCTACAAAAAGACTTCTACCTAGATAGTATATGCTTTGAACCCCTTCTTGTGTTAAATTGCTAACTTTACAGATCACACTGCAGTATCTTGTGAACCAGGTAAGCTTTTTTCAGATGGGCAAATCAGCTTACGTAAGCCAACCAAAAACCTAGAAAAAACTCAAACCAAATCAAGCTTGACTTTTTTTTTTGAGGCTTGAAAAAGTCCACTGAATGGGTTCTTATTGTTTTCATACAGCTTTGAACTTCTTGGTCTCAGATGGATCTCAACTTCCACATATCTGGTTTATCTAATCAACACAGCAATTTTACCTTTAAAAACTTTTAATAGGACATATATCCCATTCATGCATCTTATTCAGTATTTAATGTCATGCAATCCACATCAAATAAGAAGATATCACATGAATTAAATAGAAAGTTTTCAAGTAATATTTGTGCAAGGGTTTAGTTCAGGGGTGAAAACCTTTTTTGGGTTGGGGGCTACTGACCCACAGAAAAATCAGCCGGAGGCTCCGCACAAAAAAACTCTCACTGACATGGTGCCCGAATAAGAAGCAGAAGGACACTCCCCACATTACTCTTGCACACCAGAGCCTCGGGGAGCCCAGCCTAGTAGATTTTATGTGTTCTTGCCCTGTGGTGGGACAGCAGGAGGAGGGGAATTTGGAGTGCCAGCACAGGCTCCCCAATGCTGGGGGGGGAGGGCTCTGTACCTCAGGGGCCAGATCCAGGCATGCCAGGGGCCACATTCGGCCCTCGGGCCTGAGGTTCCCCATCCCTGGTTTAGTCACTGTCACATAAAATTCTGACTTTATACAAATAATAACATTTGATGAGATGGTATCCTTCAAAATAAGCAGAAAAATAAATATACAGTAGACTTCCGATAATCCGGAACCTATGGGACCTAGGTGGTGCCAGATTATCAGATATACCGGAGTATCAGGAGGTACTATAAGCTTGTTATGTATATACTGCATACAGTATATACTGTATATAAAGTGTTCTTAACCCTTTTTATTGTACATACTGTATACAGTATACTATAATGTTTTAGTTTTTTTAACCCTTTTTTACCCTTTTCGCTCAGTTCAGCTGCTGCCGCTGTTACCTTGTGACTCATTTTTTGCCGAAGCTCACTCACTAGGCTCTTGCCATTTTGATGCCGGACTATCAGGAGTGCCAGACTATTGGAGTTTTACTGTACAAGCAATGGAGCCGTCTCACTCAGACTGTTATTGACGAGTGCTCCATCAGTTTGCTTTAATGAAAACAAAATGTTTAAAGGGCTAAAACTGTTGAGAGGGAGTGGGCTGGATTCTATTCCCTGTGTTCTGAGAGAATTTTTCAGTAAGTTCCATTTCCTGTAGCCAAGTTGTTTGCACAGGAGTAAGGCTGTGTCTAGGCTACACCTCTCTGTTGTCAGAGAGATGTAGATTAAGCACATTGAAATTGCTAATGAAGCGGGGATTTAAATATCCTGCGCTTCATTAGCATAAACATGGCCACCGCTTTTTTTTTTGAAACTGAGCTTTTTTGAAAAAAATGGCAGTCTAGATGTGGATTTTTCTAAAATAAACCCTTTTTTGAAAGATCCTGTATTCCTCAGAAAATGAGGTTTATAGGATCTTTCAAAAAAGGGCTTATTTTTTGAAAGATCCACGTCTAGACTACCAGGGTTTTTTTCCAAAAATCTCCGTTTGCAAAAAGAGGCAGCCATGTTTATGCTAATGAAGCACGGGATATTTAAATTCTCTCTTCATTAGCAATTTTGATGTGCCTAATCTAACATCTCTCTGTTGACAGAGAGGTGTATTCTAGATGTACCCTAATGGAGGGAATCATTTGAACAGCAGAATTTTTATTATTAGTGATGATGGTTGAGATCAGACGAATTCATCTTGACTCCCAGTTCCAGGTTGAGTTTGCTAATGTGGTAGTCAGAAAGAACATCTTTTCATTGCAAGCTGAATGTATTTGACCTTCAAGGAATTGAAAGAAACATGGCTGGCCACTATGCCACAATCACTTTTTCAGAGCACAAGCACACACACTATGCCTCATTCCACATTTTATATGTTGTTTGCGCTTCATATCCTGGCAACATAATTGTCATCCATTTGCAGCTGCTCTTACCTCCATTAAGTAGTTGACCTGAGATGGGGTTGAACTATTTTTAAATGTCTGGCTGATCAGTAGCTTCTTCTTGTTGTTGATTTCATCCCAGTGTTTGCCATAGCTGATTTCCAGCTGGGAGTAGAGCTGAGATGAACTCTTTTCATGCCTCAAATGAGCCTGAAGAACATAACATGTAATTTCCCGGTGTCGTGCTTTTCCCCCTCATCAATGGTGCCATGTAAATATAAAACACTACTAGCCCTGCCTGCAGAAATATCCTTGGGTAGCAGGCAAGTGATAGTAAAAAGTTACATCACAGCTAATGCTCAATATTTATGCTAGACAGAATTATATGCTATTAACCTTTAGAATCCTTAGGATGAACTGAGAGCGCACAGGGTTATGCAGGACTCACTAAAAGTAGAAATTTTGCTTCAGCTCTGTCTCCTAACAATTTAAAGAATGGGCAGTTATGAAGATGTTAATCAGCTAATGGTTATTTAGTTTACATTGCAGCATACTGAACTCTCTACCTTGTGGTTATAGGATGGAGTCTGTGTACAGTGAAGCTCATGCCCCAGATCCAGTTTATACACTTCATTTGGACTGGTCTCCTCTTTAATTTTCTGTCCTGCATTACATTCATGCTGAAGATTTTTTGCATTTCCTGTTTGAGTCAAAACAGGCATATATGTAAATGCTTTGCCTTTCCAAAAGTGAAACATTCAACTCATACAGAATAAATGATCAATATAGCCCTAAGTCTGCACTATAGTTTTCACTTAATGTAATCGTAACACCAGGTTCTTTACAGAAATATAATTACTTCATCCTAAAAATCTTGAGGCAGGAACACTCTCATGGTCACAATGAGAATGCATTTAGGGATTATGGCTTTGTGTTTCTACATGAAAAATTGCCTCTGAAAATGAAAATGTTAATTAATAAAGTAAGAACCAGATGATAAAGAAGTGTGCACTTCATTCATTTAAATGGGTTGATAGTTTGTAACCCTCCTCTGAGTCCTCTTCTGATTTAAACCAAAGGTTCACAAATACTGATATGTATTATTGGTAACAGCATTTCAGCATTTTAATCCAAGTGTCCCATTCTCCCTAACATGCCAGGGAGCTGTACAAGTTCTATAGTAGAGTAGAGTGCATGGAAGTATGCATGAAAGGTATCTAGCAGAGGCTGTTTTCGCTGAGGAAAAACTGCTTATGAAAGTTGGGGAGGACTGGATTAAGGTCATAGAAACTTTCATTTATCCCACAAGTTCCATTAGAAATTAAATCCTGAAAAGTTGGGCCACATTATAGGATTTACTCATGACTTGGCCCTCTGTTTATTTTATTTTCTAATAAAATAAAAGATGGTTCCAAGTTCAGGAAATTGGAAACATCTGTTTTACATCAGAAGGCAAAATTAAAACAGTCACATATTTAGGCTGATATTTGCCTCGGGAAACTCAAGATACTGCTTATGTTTGCTCTGCCTTATTTTCTACAATTTCTTTCTCCCCCTACATCTCAGCAGTAAGAAAAACATCCACATACTAATTTTACTTAATGAAAATTTTATCTGGATAAAACTTTTCATAATCTGAGCAAGCAGAGAATTGCCAGAGTTTTTATTTTATTATGGGTCTGAAAATACTTGGTTTTTGTTTTTAGTTAAAAGTCTAGCCCTTGGAGCCACATGGGGTGTACCTAGACTATACCTCTCTGTCAACAGAGAGATGTAGATTAGGCACATTGAAATTGCTAATGAAGCAGAAATTTAAATATCCCATGCCTCATTAGCATAAACATAGCCACCACTTTTTTTCGAAATTGAGTTTTTTTTAAAAAATGGCAGTTTAGATGTGGATCTGTCAGAAATAAAACCTTTTTCAACAGATCCTGTATTCCTCAAAAAATGAGGTTTACAGGATTTGTCAAAAAAGGGTTTATTTTCAACAGATCCACATCTAGACTGCCAGTTGTTGTTTTTTTTAAACTCCATTTTGAAAAAAGTGGCAGCCATATTTATGCTAATGTGGCGTGGGTTATTTAAATCCCAGCTTTATTAGCAATTTCAACGTGCTTGATCTGCATCCCTCTGTCGACAGCCATGATGACATGAAAATCTTGGCTTTCAATTAAAAAAAGGAATGGCTACTGAGAAAAACTCAAAAACTCAAACCCTTTAGTCTCAAACACCAGAAGACATAAAATACACAGAAATAATGTATAAGTATATCTGGAATTGGTCCTTATTTTTAACATCAAGCTCAAATATATTTGCTTTCAATGGGTAACACTATAAACCAGAACAGTCATTGTAATACACAAACTCTTCCTATTTACTGACATGATTTAAGAATATTTGTGACCCTGTAGGTGATATTCTAATTAACATGTGACTAATGATGACGTTTACCAAAGAAAAGCACTGTACTGGTTTAAGAAGAGTTAAACCACTACACATGAACCAGCATTAGTCTGTCATATGCACACACACATACATGCACACTATGCACCAACTGCTATCACTATTTAGCAAAAGCTATAACACTCCTTTTATTGTCTGACTGTTTTTGCTGTCCAGTACCACTTTATATCCAGGTATTTCTAGTCTACCAAAGGGAGCTGGAGAAATACTGCAATTGAAATACTGAAATTTTCTTGAAATATTTTCTCATTTTTACATGAATTCACTAAATTTGTGCATCTATTTTGTTTATTTTTATAACATTTTAGCAACTGTGAAAATATTTGCAGAAGCAGTGTATTTACAGCAAACAAAATTTCACAGAAACCACATTTTAAATTCATTTTTTTTTCCCCATCGGAATTCCAAGAGTTACAGTTATCCAGTTGGGGAGCAGAAGCATGCTACAGACCTTGGATGACCACGCACAACCTATAAATCACAAGGCATCCATGTTTTCCTCTCCTGAAAGAAAAGATACCTTGACTATATAGGAAAATAATGTGCAGAAAAATGTGAGGCAATTCTAATATTTTGGCTTTGCTCTTTAGCATAACAATAAATGTCATTGACACAGTACCTAGAAGTCCATATTTTATTCTCAGAGCACTAGACCACATGCTTCCTCGTTGCTGCAACAGACCAATGGTATGAGATCCAAGAACACCTGGAAAGTAGGTCTCCCCTTCAAGTGAGAACTGCCTCAATTTATCATCAACTTTCTTCTCCAGAAATACTAACAAAAAAAAAAAGCAGAGGTTACCCTGGAGCAGTGCAAGATGAGAACTGTGCAGTCAGAAGGATAATACATTCACGGAATCCTAGAACTGGGATGGACCTCGAGAGGTCATTAAGTCCAGTCCGCTGCCAGTCCCCTGTCATCAAGTCCAGTCCATAGCAGGACCAAGCACCATGTAGATCATCCCAGTGTGTTGGGGAAAACACACACAACGCCTTCTGAAAAGCAACCTCAGAGCCTAGTCCTGTGAGATAACATGTGCCTTCAGCTCCCCCTCAGGAGGTGACAAGGACTGCTCAATGGCTATGGAGCTTTTCATGTCTACAGTAGCGCATTGGTTCAAAATCTGCCAAGATTACAATAACAGATATGTAGCCGTGTTAGTCTGGTCTAGCTGAAACAAAAAACAGGACTATGTAGCACTTTAAAGACTAACACGATGGTTTAATAGGTGATGAGCTTTCGTGGGCCAGACCCATTTCCTCAGATCAAATTGTGGAAGAAAATTGGCATGACCATATATACCAAAGGATACAATCAAAAAAATGAACACATATGAAAAGGACAAATCAAATTTCAGAACTGAAGGGGGATGGACATACCCCACTAACACCAACCCTGGAACTTTCCCTTGCAACAAACCCCGTTGCCAGCTTTGTCCACATATTCACTCTGCTGATACCATTATTGGACCTAACCAATTGAGTTATGAGATCAAGAACACATATTCCTGCTCATCCAGAAATATAATTTATGCTATCATGTGCCAACAATGTCCGTCTGCTATGTACATTGGACAAACGTCTCAGACGCCAAAGAATCAATGCACATAAAACAGATATTAGACAGGATCACAAAGAAAAAACAGTTTCTTGCCATTTCAACCAGAAAGGGCATTGTCTCAACGATCTGATTACCTGCATCCTGCTTCAAAGACCTTTTAACACCAGACTTGAAAGAGAATCCTCTGAACTGTCATTCATGCTTAAATTTGACACTTTACGCCAAAGTTTGAAGAAAGACTTTAATTATCTTACCCATTACAAAGATAGCTTCGCCAATTATCACCTCTAATATAATTAGCTCACAGACATTTACCTCCTCCCACCCCCCTTCTGTTCTGAAATTTGATTTGTCCTTTTCATATGTGTTCACTTTTTTTTAATTGTATCCTTTGGTATATATGCTCGTGCCAATTTTCTTCCACAATTTGATCTGAGGAAGTGGGTCTGGCCCACGAAAGCTCATCACCTAATAAACCATCTTGTTAGTCTTTAGAGTGCTACATAGTCCTGTTTTTTGTTTTGCCAAGATTACAGAGCTTCATGCACTATTACCCTGGTCTACATGAAAATAGGAGGAGAATCGGCCCAATTCCCAGTGGATAATCATAGAATACTAGGACTGGAAGGGACCTCAAGAGATTATTGAGTCCAGTCCCTTGCCCTAATGGCAGGAACCAGTACTGTCTAGACAATCCCTGATAGATATTTATCTAACCTACCCTTAAATATCTCCACAGATGGAGATTCCACAACCTCCCTAGGCAATTTATTCCAGTGTTTAACCACCCTGACAGTTAGGAATTTTTTCCTAATGTCCAACCTAAACCTCCCTGGCTGCAGTTTAAGCCCATTGCTTCTTGGTCTATCCTCAGAGGCCAGGAAGAACAAGTTTTCTCCCTCCTCCTTGTGACACCCTTTTAGATAACTTAAAACTGCTATCATGTCCCCTCTCAATCTTCTCTTTTCCAAACTAAACAAGCCCAATTCTTTCAGCCTTTTTTCATAGGTCATGTTCTCTAGACCTTTAATCATTCTTGTTGCTCTTCTCTGGACCAAGATAAGTCATTCCAGCTGCCCAAGCTAATGCTAGTCTTGGTAGCATCAGCAATCTGGTCTGGCACCAAACAGAGAGAGATGCTGCACTCTCATTCTACGGATAATCTGCCTGGACTAGGGATACGATGAACTATGTGGGGAAACTGCCACTTGGACTGCCTGTGCTACAGATGAAGACAGGAATTTACTGTCAGGCTTTTCGATAAAGCATCTTTGGCCTTATTTCTTCATTGTTGCTGGCAGCAAAGCTACCTTCAGAGCAGGCATAGATCTGAAAGCAGCATCCCTACCACTAGCAACAGAGAAGTAAAAGTTGCATGGCATCTCTTATACCTGCACTACTGCTGGTGACAACATTGCCTTCAGGGCTGGGCGCACAGCAGGCAGCCACCAATCTCCATGCTGCCTTTAGATCTGGGCAGCAGTACACGTACCAGGGTGGCGGGACTCTGTATGTGGGTGTAAAGGACTACAGACAGAAAGTGGGGGCACAATGCACTGCACTAAAATATTTTGTAAGGGGGAAAACAGAGAACCAAAGTGTTATATCTTTGGCTTATTCCTATATATAAGCAGTCCTGTGGCACCTTAGTGACTAACAAAAATATATAGAATAATGAGCTTTATAGAACATTTTAACCTGCCTGGTCATTCGATCATGGATTTAACAGTAGCCATTCTTCTACAAATGAATTTCACTAACCAATTACAGAAAAAGTCTATAGAACTGGAATTCATCTACAAATTTGACACTGTTAACGTGGGCTTGAATAAAGACATTATCTTGCTGGTGTATTACAAAGCCAATTTCTCCTGCCTCTAACAGCCATGTTTTCACATTAAAAGCTATGAATGGGATATATTATATATATGTGTCTTGTTTTCTGTTATTTTCACTCTAATTCATCTGATGAAGTGAGGTTTACCCACGAAAGCTCATAATTCTATATATTTTTGTTAGACTCTAAGGCTGTGTCTAGACTACATGCCTCTGTCGGCAGAGGCATGTAGATTAGACAGATCAGCAAAGGCAAATGAAGCCGCGATTTAAATGATCGCGGCTTCATTTACATTTACATGGCTGCCGTGCTGAGCTGACAAACAGCTGATCAGCAGTTTGTCGGCTCAGCGCTAGTCTGTTCAAAGCCCTTTGTCGGCAGCCCCATTATTCCTCGTGGAATGAGGTTTACCGGGGCTGCCAACAAAGGGCTTTGATGTCGACAGGGGGAACGTCCAGACTAGCGGCGAGCCGACAAACAGCTGATCATGGCTCAGCCATGTAAATGTAAATGAAGCCGCGATCATTTAAATCTCGGCTTCATTTACCTTTGCTGAACAAACAAATCTACATGCCTCTGCCGACAGAGGCATGTAGTTTAGACGTACCCTAAGATGCCACAAGACTGCTCATTGTTTTTAAAGTTACAAACTAACACAGCTATCCCTGAGACTTTCCAGTATATGAATACACCTCTTTTTTAGGCATAGTACCAGCATCAGTGTTTTGTAACACAATAGTGAATGATGGAAAATAGGATTAGTATTGCTTTAAATAAATGGCTCCTTGCAGATGTTAGTGCTCCTAAAACTTACTTTTCAGGCTAAAGGAGTCAAGAAAGATGTTTAATATACAGTATAACTGATATTATTTTTCAATGGTAAGTAAGTGTAATCAACTCTTACATTTTAAAGGTACCTCCATTGATTTCAAAGGGATTTTAGTTCCCATAAAAGCAGGGAGCTAGAACATATGCTCTTTCTCAGCATATATACTGTATGTCCCAAAGATTCCAGATACCACTCATTTATGTTTCATGTACTTTGTCCACCAACCTGAAAGAAACGCTGCATCCTTCAGTAAATTATGCAGGGACATTGAAAAAGCTATCTTTTTGCCAAGTTGCTTAGTGAAGTTTCCTGACAGAATGATAGGACTGCCTTGCTTTATCAGCTTAACCTCCAGCTGGACTGCATATCTCTGCTCTCCACTTGCTGTTTGCAAATCTGTCATTCCCTAAAAAAATCCCAACAATACAGCTTGATTATGTTTTGAGAAACAGACCCAGTATTTCTTGCGTAGATACTAGAGATGGGCACTTTACCAATATGGGAGAAGGGAAAGGATTGAAAAAATTGAAACACAAAATGAAAACAAATTTTTTTGATGTTGTGGTGTTGAAAACATTGAGTGGTGACAATTTAGAACTTTATTTTGATTTGCTGGAATGCAAGCATAGTGCTCTGCAATGTTAATTAGTGTTTCGTCTTCAGTTCTGCTGAAGAGGAGGAAAGTTCAAAATGGCTGGTTTGGAAAATCTACTGTAGGAAAAAACAGCTGGTAAAGTATTATATTTGAAGAAAAAAATATGTAACAAGTAGGATTGTGGCTACGGGCCCACAGTAGATGCAGCTTCAACTGCTAAATTGCTAATCAAATAATGAAAAATGTGAATTATTACAGACTAAATCCATGGGGGAATAAAACTCTCAGCAGGATTTTAACGTTAAAATTCTACCCATGTGATTTTTTTTTCTTTTAATAGTTTTAGCATTGGAAAGATTCGGGGAGGGGGGGTTCAGCTCAGATGCAAACCTCATCTTTAAAAGAGGAATATTTGGGACCTTCCTGTATCTACAGAGTTCAATCTAGTGAAAAGTTAACTCTGGGTTCAGATAGATACATGACCAGAATATAACTTTCCATTGTAAAAATGGACAGCAACTGAAAACCTGCTTTAAGAAATCACTTCAGTTTATTCCTGTAGTACCAACTACAAATGAAAAATAGATCAAATACAGTTTAAAGCCCCAACCCTGCATATAGAAGCATATGTGTAGATGGGAAAATGGGTTGCTGCATTCACACAAAGCCCCATAAACTTTAGTAGAGCTCTGCAGATGCAGTGGTATGCCTACTTGATTTACTTTGAGAAACAGCCCCTCAGAATATTACCGCTAAGAACAAGATTAAGGCCAAAATCATTTCACATAAGCTACTTGTGATAACTGGTAATGTGGAGCTAGCAGTGGAATAGTACATTTTGTAACTTTGAACTTTGTCGACAACCAGGTCCAGAAAATGCAATTCACTGTGAGAACTCTCCAGTCTGACAGGTCATTAGCCAATGCTGCTATGGGCACAAATGAAAATAGCCAGAGATAAAAGACTCTGTATTCTATTACCAATCTTCCAAGCTACTGATCACCCAAACATCTGAGCTCTCTTCAAAAGTAGCCAAGAGGACATAAGAGTTTAAAATAGTATACATCCTTAATGAACCAAACCACTGAAGTCAACAGGAGTCATTCCACTGATTATAGTGCAATTAGTGGTAATTTTAAGCAGAAAATCCAAACAGAGCAAAATTGCTTTAGCTTCTATGTTAGTGCTTAAAGATATTTCTTTGTTTATAAAAACAACAATTTAGGGATTATCAGCCAATATGTGTTATCCCTGCTTGAATGATAAATGTACTTGTAATAGAGAACTCACCATTTGGCTAACTGATTATTCAGACACTATTTGGCTGTGTCTACATTGCATCCCTTTCCGGAAAAGGGATGCTAATGAGACACTTGGGAATTGCAAATCCGCGGGGAATTTAAATATCCCCCGCGGCATTTGCATTTACATGTAGCATCCCTTTTCCGGAAAGGGATGCAATGTAGACACAGCCAAATAGTGTCTGAATAATCAGTTAGCCAAATGGTGAGTTCTCGATTATTCCTGTAGTACCTGAAAGTACTTGAAAGTAGGAATAAGGGATCCTCCGGAAAAGGGCTTATTTTCCGGAAAATCGCGTCCAGACTGGCGCTTTTCTCCAGCAAAAACCCCGAGCCGGAAAAAAGCGGCAGCCATGTAAATGCAAATGCCGCGGGGGATATTTAAATCCCCCGCGGATTTGCAATTCCCAAGTGTCTCATTAGCATCCCTTTTCCGGAAAGGGATGCAATGTAGACACAGCCAAATAGTGTCTGAATAATCAGTTAGCCAAATGGTGAGTTCTCGATTATTCCTGTAGTACCTGAAAGTACTTGAAAGTAGGAATAAGGGATCCTCCGGAAAAGGGCTTATTTTCCAGAAAATCGCGTCTAGACTGGCGCTTTTCTCCAGCAAAAACCCCGAGCCGGAAAAAAGCGGCAGCCATGTAAATGCAAATGCCTCGGGGGATATTTAAATCCCTCGCGGATTTGCAATTCCGAAGTGTCTCATTAGCATCCCTTTTCCGGAAAGGGATGCCAATGTAGACACAGCCTTTCAGTATACATGTGTCTCACTGCCCTATAAGAATTTTTTTCATCCCATTTCTATTTGTGTATTTCCTCTTAATATTGAAAAAATTGGAATTTTCAGATGTACCTTAATGTAATAGACTTCTTTGTCATCTAGTATCAGCTTCAGGTGTCCAATTTGTGAATTCTTGGATAACTCAAGTTTTCCTTAGAGAAATAAGAAAAAAACACAGCTGTTTTCTGGTTTTGGTACATATATAGGTACATTTTTTTACTGTGTCTTTTTACATTTTTTTACATTAAAATTTGATGCAATGTATTAGTCACAAATGCTGTGAATAATACATTTACAGAATTAAAGAACAAATAATAGCAGAGTAAAGGAAAACAGTAAGGCTGTGTCTATACTGGGCCACTTATTCCGGAAAATCAGCCGCTTTTCCGGAATAAGCTGCGAGCTGTCTACACTGGCCCTTGAATTTCTGGAAAAGCAACGACGCTCTCCGGAAAAGCTACGCTGCTCCCGCTCGGGCATAACTCCTTATTCCGGAACACTGTTCCGGAAAAGGGCCAGTGTAGACAGCCCAGTAGTCTTTTCGGGAAAAAAGCCCCGATCGCAAAAATGACGATCGGGGCTTTTCCGGAAAAGCAGCCTGCCAATGTAGACGCTCTTTTTCCGGAAATACTTATAACGAAAACTATTCTGTTTTAAGCATTTCCGGAAATTCATGCCAGTGTAGACACAGCCTAAGAGGTATGGAGTAAAATTTTCAAAAGAGACTTAGGGTTCTACAGTCTTAAGTCCCATTGATTTTTCAGTGAGTCTCAGCTTCCTAAGTGGCTGCCATATTTGAAAATGGCACTTAGGCTCTTAAGTAGAGTTGGCTAGAGCCTTCTATTCCTTTTCTGCAGAAAATTCCCTTCCCTCCCCATTCTGAATTTCGGCTCCCAGTGAGCTTATGAACTTTGGGAAGCATGTAGCATTAACACAGATGCAATTACTCCAGCCAGTGAGAATGTATAATGATGTCATGTACATTAGCGGAATGGCTGTCACGCAATTCAGAGCAAACTTGCAGCTGGTGTATATTGGAGGAGCTCCACTGACTGCAATTGCCCTGATTGCTACTAGCAGAGGATCTTGCTGTTAGCTGAAATACCTACCATCAAGTTGGATTTTTTTCTTTGGTTGTATAAATTTGACTTTGAATGTCTTCTGTAGGATATTAAAACTGAAGTCAACCCCAACATCCCTTTTCAGGTCTGACTTTGGTGTCCCAATAAAGAAATAAAGGACAGCTTCACTTGGAAGCCAAGAATCCTCCTGGAAACAAAGAAATAATCATGACATCTGAAATTGGCACAGTATTCACAGTATGGAGCTGCCATATGGAATTACATCAAGGAATCATAGCAGGCTCCCTGCTATGATAGTAAGTCTGTTTTTCTAATCCACATCTTTAATGCTTGTGTAAGACATTTCCAGGTGTGCATTTCCCATTTAATTTAATCTTATATCCCCAATGTTTCTCATACGTAAGATGGTATTAATTTGCAACTAGCTGAATTTTCACGCCTCTGCCCAATGGCAAACTTATGAATTCTCATTTGAGCACCTAGGATTTCACACAGCTCTCTTGACATTGACATGTACTCTCTTGACATGCTGCCAAACTTTGAAAAAATTCTGACCCATGATCCTGGTACAGAACTTCACTCACTCAAATCTTTTCTGCTATTTTCATATAATTTGCTTCATATCCTAAGGCCTGAGATGAGTCGGAGAGGCATTACTTTTTCTGGACAGTCCAGCCATTCAATTAACTAAATTGCCTGTAAGGATTAAAACCAAAGCCAGTGGGTCCTATAGAATCTTCAGTAGTTCTAGGGAAGCTGGAAGGATGTTGGCAGGAAGCCTGGAGAGCCGATGGAAACAGAGTTTTGAATTGGAAGCAGTGACCTTCCTGTGCCAATCTTTCTGTGGCCAGAAGAGAGCCAGGGAAACATGATTTAAGCCAGGGAGCAGGGCATTGAGTATTCAGCAACATCCATGTCTTGGGAAGGAGAAAATTTTAGAACAAGAGATACGTGAGTAGAAAAGGGAATGTTTAGTCAGATCAGGTTATTTCCTTTATTTTTCGGTTTGTTGGACTTCTCTGTGCTCAGCATTGTAACTACCCCTCTTACACTAAAACTCTCCAAACTAAAACCCAGGGAAGCAATTCTCCACAGTGCAGAAAATCCTCTCTTTTAGACCTTGTCTATACAAAAAACTCTAAGGCTATATATCTACAATACAATGTTATTACAAAATAAATTATTTCAAAATAACAACTCCCAAAATAGCTATTTTGAAATAACATGTCCAAACTATGATTCCCCATCAGAATAGCACAGATCTACATTGAAATAGCATGTGCACATTCATTGGAGCCTGAATCACATTTAAAGCCCCACTGGAAGCACTCCAGGCAGGGCATCAGGACAGCAGTCACTTCTTGTAGTTGCTTCCTGAGGCTAGCTGAGGGGCTTGTGCTTAAAGGGATTCCCCTCTACAGCTGTGTCTCAGACTCTTCACCTTTGCCCACCTCCTTGAGGGATAGCAAACACCACACCATGAGCTCTGGATGCCCTTGCAGATGCCACAGCACTTCTGCCATGGAGCCAGACCTGCTGCAAAGCAGCCAATAGCTCTTATGCCTCATGCTGCACCTCCTGGCACAGTTTTTGCAGGCTGCCTTCATAGCACTACTTTAGGATGAAGAATGGCCTGGAATGGGGGACCCCCTCACCCATGACTGGGTGCTCCTCATGAACCACAGTCCCTCTCATCCTCATGCCCCGCACACCGTGCCCCACTGCTTATGGTGACAGGAGACCAGTACCAACAGGTGGAACTGGATGGTCATGGAGCGGGGTGATGACCAGTAGTAGCTCCAGAACTTCTGCATGCAGAAGGACACCTTCCTGGTGCTATGCAAGTGACTCGCCCCTGCTCTCTGGTAATGGATCACCTACAAGATGAGACCCACCATTGCCCTCAAAAAGCGAGTTGCCATTGACTTCTGGAAGCTTCCCACACCAGACAGCTACCACTGTGTCTGGAACCTGTGTGGCATGGGGAGATTGACTATTAAGGCCATGATCATGCAGGTATGACACTCTTGCTATTGTCCAAGGAAGGCAGTGAAGCACTCAAATGGGGTTCCCTAGGGAAGGGGAATGGTGGAATTTCCTTCCCTGCAGGTTTTTCAGTCCTGCCTTCACAAAGCCTTGCTGGGGATGGTTTAGTTAGGGTTGCTCCTGCTATGAGAAGGGGTTTGGGGAACTCCCAAAGGCTCTGGTAAACCTGTGATTCTACGTTCCTATGTTTTTACAGGTGGTGAGGGCCATCAACATCATCCTGCTGCACAGAGTCATCATCCTGGGCGATGTGGACCCCATCATTGCTGGCTTTGCCACCATGGGCTTCCTCAGCTGGGGAAGGGGGGCTACTGACAGCACCCACATCTCCATCCTGGCCCCCAACCATCGGGCTTCCAACTATATAAATAGGAAGGGGTATTTTTCCATAGTACTTCAGGCCCTCATGGATCACCAGGGTTGCTTCACCAACATTAATGTTGGGTGGTCGGGGAAGGTAGATTTTTGCCGACATCTTCAGAAACTCTAGCCTCTTCCAGAAGATGTATGCCGGCAATTTTTCCCCTGACTACACCATCAGGGTTGGGGACATAGACATGACTATGTGCATTATGAGTGACACAGCATTCCTCTTGCTCCCGTGGCTCATGAAAACCTACCCAGGACAGCTGGACCCCACCAAGGAACAGTCCAACAGCAGTCTAAGCAGGTGTTGCATGGTGGTGAAGGGCACCTTCAGCCGCCTCAAAAGGAGGTTTTGGTATCTCCTCATCCACCTGAACTTTGGCACTCAGAACATCCCCAGGTGATGGCAGCCTGCTATGTCCTCCACAACATATGAGAACAAGGGGGAGACTTTCCTGCCAAGGTGGGGGGCAGAGGCTAAGCAGCTCACAAGGGCCTTTGAGTAGTCACTGCTATCTGCCAGGCCCATCGGGGGAGCTGTGGCATTTAGGAGGCCTTAAGGGAAATTTTCAAACAAGGCCACCTATGAGAAAGGCCAATTTCCTCCCTGACATAACAAACGTATCTGATTGTTTTTCCTGCTTTAAAAAGTGGGGGAACTTGATCAGTTTTTCTACATTGCCCCTCTGAGCCCTCCCCTGACGATAATATAAACCAGACTTTTTGTTTATGAAACAAACTTGTGTATATTTATTTGGGGAATATATATCTGTGGAGGGACTGGGGAAAGAATCTGGGAGGGGGAAGGAAAAGAGAGAAGGGGGCAGGAAGACCTCAGGGATGGGGCTGGGACTGACGGCCTCAAATGGTCCCACTGCTTCATGTGCAGGGCCCTCAGCAGCCCCGCTGGGAGCTAGGGGGAGAAGCCAGTAAAACAGGGGCAGATGTGGGTGCTGGGGGGTGGCTGCTGGACTGCTCCATTGCAGCAACCATGCACTCAACAGCTCTTGTGTATGCTGCTCACATCATCTCCTGGTGCTGGGACACTGCTGCCAAATGCTTTGTCACAGCTCCCACTCAGCCTGGTGCTCCTAGCGTTCCTCCTGAAAGCTCCTGTTCATGGAATGGAGACAATCCAGGTGTTCCCACTCCAGGTCATTCTGGGGTCGCTAGCGCATGCGGCGCTCCCGGGGTCAGGAGGAGGAGGTTGGGGATGTGCCTCACTCACATATGGCCCATCTGTGAAGAACAGTGACTAGGGCAGTATTCCCAGGAGACACTGTGCACGAAGCCCAGCCCTTATCCATGAACCATCACTAAAAGGTCTTGGTTCAGACAATGGCGATATGCTTTGAGCAAGGTCATCTATTGCGTAGATAGCAGGCACTGTCCTGCAGGGGCACAGATGTCCCAGGGGAGCCTCGCTATCCCCACATCCCAGAGACAAGCAGGCATGAGAAGGGGCCAGACAGGCCCAAATCCTGCAAGCAGGGGGTGAGAGGGAGGAGATGGGGCGGCTCGGCTGCCCTCTATGTCACACAGACACTGGGTCTGACAGTGCCAGCATCCCACAGTGAGAGGACTTCTATCCATGCCAGCCGGAGGAGGGAGGGGGAGGGTGTTGGGAGATGTGAGACGCCGCTTTCCAGGGACGGTGCTACAGGAGCTCTCCACTTCCTCCCCACAGCAGGCTCCCCTGCAGGGGATCAGTGTCCTCTGACTCATTGCACTTGATCTGGAGCAGTTACTGCCTGAGAGTGTAGGTTTGTGGCACTGCTATGTGTTTCCCTGACCCCAGACACCTTAGTGGTGGCTTGTGGTGGGAAGGTGTGTAGGAACCTTGTGAGGAGGAGCACAAGGTTCCTGTGTGAGAGCCTCATGGGTCTATCTGCTCTAGACTGGCACTTCATGGGCACCTACATGCACAGGCTGCTGTGCCCAGGCTGAAAAGGCTGAGCAAGGAGCGCACTGCCCCTCTCAGCCCACCAGCCCCATGGAAGAAGAGAGAGTTACTCACCTTGTCCAGTAACATCTGTTCTTCGAGATGTGTGTCCCCGTGGGTGCTCCCTACAGGTGTCGGGCTCGTCCTGGCGCCGCAATCCGGAAAGTTTTCACCAGCAGTAGCCCCCTCCAGAGGACCGCGCATGCGCAGAGTGCCCCGCGGCGTTCGTGCCTTTTTTGCGTCGCGCGGTCCGACGCACCAGTTCCTCCTAGTTCCTCCTGAAAAAGAGAAAGACAAGAGCTCCGAAGCAGGGAGGAGGGCGGGTCGTGGAGCACTCACGGGGACACACATGTTGTAGAACCATCGTTACTGCACAAGGTGAGTAACTTCTTTTTCTTTGGGCAGTGTCCCCATGGGTGCTCCACTGTGGGTGATTCCACGGCAGTAGCCAGAATAAGGCAGTGTGTGCAGAGCTGGTGCATTGCCACTGAAGAAAGGACTGCAGTGGCTACTGCCATGTCAGACATGATGATCTTTGGTAGCACGTAATGGTTTGCAAAGGTAAGACCACTCGGCAAATATCCTTGATGGAAACTCCTTTGAGAAAGGCTGTTGAGGACGCCAATGCCATTGGTGGACAGAGTAGAGCTCTGCCTCTAAGGGTGTAGCAGCGAGAGATACAGTTAATGATATGGGACGATATATGTTGTGATGATAGCTGATAACCTTTAGAACGGGTCGCCACTGATAATAGCAATAGCGGGGACTTCCTGAAGGGACGTGTTCTGTCCAAGTAGAATGCCAGCGCCCTTCTGACGTCTAACATATGCAAG